CCAGAATCCCCTAGCTAACAGAACCTGGCTGGGCGATTCTGGGAGTTAACCGTCCCCTAAAAAGTAATGTTTCTCCGCTCTGATTCTTTTATTTTATTATTTTTGCTCGGTAGCCCTTTACCTCCTTGGTGGTCCTCCAGTGCCATCTTTGTGGCAAAGTTTGTACAAAATGGCCACCGTTCTCGTCAACATGGAGGATGTGCCGTCCCTGGAACGCCGTATTTCTCATGCACCTCCGATGCATTCTGGAGCCTCCACATTTATCTCCGTTGTGCTCCCGGAACAAGAAAATAAAACTTGGAAACGTGTGTCAGTCTTGCAGAAAAAGTGACTGAAAAAAAATCCCTCCCCAGCAACAACCAACGGAAATGAAAACACACAACCATAGATATATATAAAAACCAAATGAAATTGTTAACTTTGAATTTTGGCTCCCAGGACAGGTGGTGGTGGGGATGATGATGGCTCTTTCAAGAAGGAATGCATGCAGCAGCTCCAAAGTCTTTACAAAGTTGACCCTGTTGATCTCAATGGGCATTGTTGCTATGGGAACGACTCCAGATTCAGTTGCTGGGTGCGCATGCTTCCCGCCTTTGCACACTCTCTCTCTCAGTGGGAACTGCTCGCTGGTGTCACACGTTCGCTAAGAGACTGGGCCAAACATAAGAATGTTCCCCGTGCAAATCCTGCCTTAGCTGCCAAGTATCCAACCACCCCATCTCCTTCAGCTTAGCTTCAGCTGTGCATTTGAAGTATTGTGTAAAATCAGTGGTTCCCCAACCTTGGGCCTCCAGATGTTCTTGGACTTCAACTCCCAGAAATCCTGGCCAACAGAGGTGGTGGCGAAGGCTTCTGGGAGTTGTAGTCCAAGAACATCTGGAAGCTCAAGGTTGGGGAACCACTGGTGGAAATATCCACTCACCGATTTTCCCAAATAGCATATTTGAAACACTCTGTATTATCTAAAGCAGGGGTCCCCAACTGTGGCTATCCAGATGTTCTCAGACTACAACACCCAGAAGCCTTCACCACCACCTCCGCTGGCCAGGATTTCTGGGAGTTGAAGTCCAGGAACATCTGGAAAGCCAAGGTTGGGGAGACTTTGCTCTAAAGGGCAAGACAAAAAGATAGCATTCGGAAGGTAGGGAGCTGCCTTTTATAGAGGCAGAACCTTGGTCTATGGACCCCGATATTAGGTTGAGTTGGACCTGACCATTCCTCTCTCTGGGGTTTGCAGGGCAGGATTTAGCCCTTTATGCTAGCACAAGTTTTCTCTGACCTAGAGGAAGAGTGGAAAGACGTCAGCCTTGGGCATCCATCTGCTTCATTTTCCACCAAGCTTCCCCCAGGCGAACGGACCGCATCGTAACTTAGGGAGTCAGGCATACACTTAGAATTAAGGAAGGCTGGGCCTCTGGGCACACGCTGGGGCTAAATTCGGTTTCCAGCTCCTGAACTGAACTTGCAGGCCTTTCACAGGGGGAAAAATTTTTAAAAAGCACTGCTGGCTGCTTCGCTAAATTATGTTTGAGTCAGCCATGCCATTCAGTAGCTGCTGGTGGGGGAGGCTTTCTTGTTGACCCTGGCATGGTTAGAGGACGGGAAGGGCAGAATTCTTAGCTGTGTAGAGGCCTGTCAATAGGTAGGAGAATGGTGGGGGTAAAAATATTTTTAAATAAATAGATACGTGTAGAGGCCTGTCAATAGGTAGGGTCTTTTTAAGAACGGTGGGGTAAAAATATTTTTAAATAAATAGATATTATTTGGATTATAATTTCCAGATTCCCCCCCCGATCAGCTGGCTCACCTGGTTTGCTTTGTGCAGAGACTGTAGGAGTGGGGAAATTACATTTTTGGTACCAAATCTTTCAGAAATACCATGCCTCCAGGAGGGCATCTTCCAGGGTTTTTTAGTTTTTTAAAAAAGAGTAACTTTTCCAGGTAGCCTCTGTTCTAGGACTCGGCTATATTCCTTCCTTGCTGAAGGGGCCATGCTAGAGAGCCTTCCCTGGCCCTCTGGGGGGAGATTTAAGAGGTTGTAGCACGGGGGAAAAAAAAAACCTAACCCTTTTCAACCTCTAGGAGTTGTTTGCTTGTGTCTTTGTTCTGCCTGGCTCATTCCTTCTCTCCGTATCTCGTATCTCTCCTTCCTCGTATCCTATCTCCAAACCCTTCAATCTTTATGATCCTCCTGGTTCTCCCGAGAGAAAAAACTGCTGACAATGCATTCCAAACTCATGTCTTGGGAACAGAATAAATTATGCATTTGGAATATGAAACAGTAAGTATTCCAGCTCAGCATCTAATCTAATCTTGTCCCAGCTGAGGGCAAATCCATGTCCCAATAAACTTGGCCAACACTCGTCCAAACTCTTGAAGAACCCCAAAACCACCTCCAGATGCTCCAAGCTACTGCTGCTGGTGATGATGGTGGTGGGGGCACTTGAGGCTCCTCTCCCCACTGTCTTGGGACCCCTGTCTGTGTAGGCTTCGTTCTCACAGTGCAGTCAGCAGAGGGGCAAATGGGTACCTCAGCTGCTATCGCTCAAGATGGGAGCCCACCCAACGGCCCAACAAGCCTCCAAACCAGATGGGTTGGGCCCCGCTTCCCACAAGAGTGCGCGAGTTTGCAGTCCAACGTATCTGGAGGACACTGAGCTGGGGAAAGCTGTTTTATGCTGATTTTAGGAAGCTAGGGAACTGCCTTAGGCTGACTTGGGTCATTGATCCATTCCAGTTTGGTTTGGCCAGTTCTGACAGGCAGCATCAGCAGCTGCTTAGGGTTTTTTTGGGGGGAAGGATACTATTTTTAGCCCTACCAAGGATGGGGACACACTGTCAAGACACACCTGAGTCACACTGGGGACTTGATTGGGACTTGACTTGAGCCCCCCCCCAATGACCTCGTCTTGACTTGTGACTCAGAACCCACCCAGCCCGTTCCTCTTTTTCTGGCAGGAAAAAAGCTTGTTTTTAATGGGCATTAAAAGACTTACGGGCTTTTGGGACCCAGATTCAAAGATTTGCCAACATCTCTGGAGGTACTTGGGGTTTCATGATGACCTCCCCCCATCCAGGTCCTAACCAGGCCTGGCCCTCCTTAGCTTCTAAAGCCAGGAAGGAAGTTCAAGGTGACATGGTATAATCCGCCCCACCATCCACAGCTTCTTCTTATCTTGTGCTCAATGCAACTAAGTGAGAAACTGCTCCCTTTCCTACATCTCAGATAACTTTTGAATAGATATGCAATCCTTTTTTTAAAAAAGGTGACTTTTTAAATATGCACCTCCTTCTGTCTTTCTTCCTATCTCCTTTATGTGACACCCTTCTCATGTTAATCCCTCCAAGGATGAGGAATTGTTGCTGAGCGATGACTTTGAGGATGCCATTCAAAATCTCAAGGCTCCCACCAAGAAATAAATCGCCCCACCAGGCTACCCCCTCCCCAGGAGAAGAAATGGCCTGCCTTCAACATAGGACATTGACAGGGCTGAATGTTAGGCTCCCAATAATGTCCACATACGGTGGGTGTTGGAGCACTAAGCTCAGCAGAGATGCTGGCACAATCATCCTGCTACTCCTTCCACTTCCCAGACATTATCCAAATAGATCAGACATAGACTAAGGAAATTTTCATCTGCTTAGTGGGCACGAACACGGCGTCCTCCTGCTTCTTTGCATAATTTATCCTTCCCAAATAATTCAGGCTTTTTTGTGATTTGCAGAATATAGATTTTCGTTTCGTAAAGCAAAAATGGTACGCAAGCCCCGATGACCCTCGATGTCTACAGGGAGACCATCCCTTTTCAATACTTGAAAGCATTAAAATCTCCCGGATTTGGCACAAATCTCCTTTCCTTACCCTCTCTTTGTAGCTACTGAACTCTTGAGTCCAACAGTTTACCTCATCAGGGGAAGCTCTGAAAGGTTAAGTATCTGATCTTCCAGCATCATCATCTTCTGGCAAGAACTCAAGGTATCAGGTCACCTCATATGTGGAACTGAGATGCACAAGCAGGAAAAACTGTACCTGTTGACCTTCGGCTGAGATACGCACAACACGACACCCCTCTGCCCAGACTTTGGATTTCCTCAAGGGTTTTACAGTAGATTGTGTGATCCATAAAAGATTTCCTCAGCTTTGGGCTAAAGCTTTGGCCATGAATGATCAGATCCGGCTTCTCCACATAAGACCCATGGTTGTCACCACCGCTGAGAAGTGAGGAGATCCCGTTTCCTGAAAGCTGGTAGATTTTGTTTTGATAGAACAAAAAAAAATTTCGATTTTTGAGGGGTGAAATAAAAGCTGAACAATCAAAGTGAAAGGAAGCCGTTCTGTGCCAAGAAATTAAGAGATGGAAAAATTCCTTGGTCCTGTCTCCTAAATACCAGCAGAACTCAGAAAGCATGGGGAACCAGTTAAGGTTGAAGATAGCGCTGGTTTGTCTGGAGGGCAGCTTGCAGAATGAGAAGTGAGTGGAGAACATCACAAGCCGGACTTCTCTGCCCTTTAGCAAACCGGCAAGCAAGGACGGTGGGGCTGCGATGGATGGAAGAGGCCTACATTAAGAGAAGAAACATCTCTTCTGCACTCTCCGGATTCACAACGGTGCTGAGCAATCGACCATCTGGTGGGGCTCTCCTCCAGAAGGCCACTTTCCTTGGGTTGAGACAAAAAGCCTCCACCAGATTGTATGCAAGACCTGTTCTTGTCTGTGCAAGGTGGAGGACCAGTGTCCTTCTGGGTCAAAGATGGAGGCCAAGTAAGGGTGTTCTTTTTGCTGGTGGTGGCTCCATTGTTGAGGTCCAACCTATCAAGAAGAGATTCTTCCCACACTGTAGGCATCTTCTGTTATTATTTATTTTTTTAACTATAGTAGCCTTTGGTCGTATGAGGAATTTCTTTTCTGGCTTGCTCTTTTCTTCCTTGAAAAAGAACTCCGAATGAACAGAAGTACGAGGTGCTTTCTCTTCCTCACAATAGGAACGGCCCCATTTTTTTTTAAAAAAAACCCAAACCACACACCACAAACCCAGAAAACGCCTCAAATAGATGTCAGCGGAGAAAGGAATGAAACAAGACCATTCAAAGGAGCCCTGTGGAGATGAAACTTCACACGCTTCTCGAAGACCAAAGGAATCATCAGTCAATTGGAGCAAACGAGGGAATCGCGAGGGAGTTTTGAAGAGCCTCGCTCATTAATTGCCCTCTGCCCATAAGTTATTGAGTTTCCAGAGGAAAGGAAAGGAACTCCGGAGTTGGAGAACTGCTCGGCAAATAAAAAGCTATCTGGGTGTTGTGAGCAGATGCTTCTATAGCTGCCTCTGAGGAAAGCGAGGGCTGGAGAAGACAGGAAGCCCTCTCTGGCAGTCTTGAGAGATTCCTTGGTTGATATTCACAGCACTGTCGATTCAACGACACACCCGACCCACCTGTTCGGAAAAAAAGGAGCGCGCCGCTTCCATTCCCGAAGGCCTGCTTGAAAATGTGTTGCCCTTGGCCGGTTGCTTTCGAAGGCGCCAGGTCAGAGAACTGAGGCTTGCAGGCCGCTGGCGTCGGCTCCAGGGTGTCTTTAGCAACAGGTGGACGAGAAGATGTAAGACGTGATCCGTCTTTTTTTTCTGTTCTTTTTTTCCCCCACCCGCAAGGGTTAACAACCTGCTTCCACCTTAACGTGTAAAATCTTTGAAAAGCCGGGCCTCTTCTTCAGGGCCTGGAAGGGAAGCAAGCGGGAGAATGCATCACGTTCAGGGGTATCGGTTCAAGACAGATGACGCTGTTAAGGAAGGCTGGACCACTAAATAATGTTCGGACTCAAATGGAAACGGCTTGGGCTGGATGGAAGGAAATGAAGCTCTGTTTGTCGAAAATGAGCGCATGCAGCCGTTTCAGCACGCACAAAACCGCTCTCCCGGAGAGGCTTCCCTCTGTCCCACTTCTTAGGGGTGACCCTCAAAGCAAGCTAAGTTTTCGGACTGGGCTTCAGGACCAGAGATGGGCACAAACTGGCCATTGGGTGGTTTGTGCCTGTTTGTTTCTTGGCTAAACAGAGGAGGCAGGGCAGGGAAGCCAGTTGGCCGCTTCTGAGGGGGCGCCCATCAGAGGAGGCAGGGCTTAGAAGCACCAAACACCCGTTCGGCCGATCAACAAACGGCCGAACCATACAGTATCTTCTTAATAGGCAAGTCTGACTTCACAGATGTAGAAGGTGGCTTGGCTTACTCTGCTGATACAATGACACGACTTCAGCTCAAACAAGAGATTACGGCATCTGTCACGGGCATTGCTCAGCCCTCGACTGCATGCGGTCCCTCTGGAGGGAAGTCCAGGTAGCCATGGATCTGTGGCTCAGCTTGGGAAGGACAAAGCATGGCCATGGAGAATTTAATACGGAATCCAAAATGGGGCATCTCCAGCTTGGTATATTATTTCCCCTTGACCCTCTGGTCAGTGAGCTAATCTTTAAGGTGTTGCCCGAAGCCAGGATCCTGCACCTTTCATAGAGCGGGCGTCCTAATCCTAAAACCAGCCCTGGTTTGCTGAACCGGCCACTTGGAAGGGGCTTTGAGATCCAGGCACAGCCTGTGGACCGGTCCGCCACCAGAAATGAAGCCCACACTTGTGATGACGAGTGTGGGACAGGACTTAAGACCATTCACAGACGTCTCCTCCTTACCTGGAGCTTGTTAACCATCTCCTCAAACATCTTCCTGGCCTCAGAACTATTCGGCTCCTTGAAGTAATCGGCAATCCCGACCTGGACCACGATGGACTTCAGGTTTCGGCAAACACCTTTGAGAGACAGAGGACCTCTGTGAGTTTGGAATGGGGGAGTTTGGGGGAATGAGGAACGCGGGGACATTTCCCAGGAGGAGGAGTTATTATACTGTGTAAAATTTCTTGATAATTTTCCCAAAGCCCCAATGACTACGGGGACCACTGGAGTGTGTTTCATCCACAAGCGAGATCTTTGCATTTCGTTAATTTTTCCAATTCTTTAGCTTGAACTCTGGCATCCCCTGGAATTGCAATGTCCACGATCCAGACCTTTCTTCGTTCTATCATGACAATGTCTGGTAGGTTATGTTCAAGGTGTCTATTATTGGTTTGGATCCGGAAATCCCACAAGATCTTGACTTCCTCATTTTCTGACACCTTCTCTACCTGATGTTCCCATGGGTTTTTGGAGCCTGGCAAGTTATAGGATCCATCATTGTTATTATTATTAAAAAACACCAGGCACAGTCAATCACAATTATAAAAACATTGACTGGCATTATGCAACAGATACAAGTTTTAATCAAAAACCTAAGTATCTGTTAAATATCGGCACAGTATGTATGCTGTTCCTAATATTGCTAGGTTTTTTTGTGTAGCTCTGATGGTGTTATTTCTGAGTATGCAGCTGCTTATAACACTCTGTGAAATTTCTTGGAATAACTAAACAGCCAAAGAGAGGTCAAAAATACGGACAGTTTGGTTGAGCAGTACCAAAAAAATTGTAACGACTCAGAATCACCTTCTTCAAATCCCCATTTTCAAAGCTTCTCTCCTCCACTGTGTTGTAAACCTAATTACTCTTAACTGTCAATTCAAAATCAAGCCACTCCAGGATTCTTCCCCCCCATAATTTTTGTTGTTTGGCAATTCCTGGCCTCCCTAGTTATCTGGAGGATAGGGGAACCTGGGGTAGGACAGAGGGAGAGAGAAAGATATTCACCCTGTGAAGCAAAAAGTCCAAATGTCCTGATGAGAAACTCAGAAAGTTACTTTTTCTGCAAATGCCATTCCCAGCATCTCCCAGCTAGCATAGCCAGGCTGTGTATGCGCATTTCCCAGAGTTATTCCAAAAAAAGTAACTTTTCCAAGGTTAGACTTTGATGCTGCAGGTCTCGTTCCACCATGAGAGAGAGAAAACATTTCCATAAAAGCATTCAGAAATGCCCCATCTCTGAGCAATGGAAAATCTGCCCATGGATGGTGTTTGGTGTAAGCACATGGGGGGGGGGCAAAATGGTGTTGGCCATTTCAGTTCACATCCTTCCTCATCTTGTGACAGACAAGTCAAAGTTGTTGGTTCTGTGGTTTGAGATAAAGTTTGCCTTATACCACCCAATGTCTTTTAAAGAAAATGCATTCCGTCCCTTTTGTATTCCATTATTAGGGCTGCACGTGTTTAATTAGTAGATTAATTGACAACATAGATCAATTAGTAGATGCATGAATTAATGGGGCCGAGGATGAAGGACTTGGTTAATTTTTAACATATTTTGGCTTCGGTTCCCGACTACAATAGAGATCAAGATAGACCATTAAAGGCAGCAATTTCTTCTAAAGACGATAGAAGGAACACCTCACCGTTTCTTATCTCAGCTCCCTTCCTTGTACTGAGGTTTCGATAACATCCTCATTTCATTTTTGCTTGCTTGATTAACTTGGGCAGGATAATGAATGGAACTGGATTTTTTTTGTGTCCAGTACAAAAAGGCTGGCCGATGCAAACTGGGATTACACCAGGGTAAAGAGCTAAAGCATGCACCCCATGACTTGCTCCTAATCCCATCTGATGCATCTTCTTCCCAAATGCATAGGCTTCAGGCTTCTTCATCCAGCCCACAGGTACTGCAACACACACACCCCCACCACAACACACACATTCACATTTTCTACTGCAAAAACCTCAGCCCTCCCTCCTGACCTGTCTGGACTTTTCCACTCACTGTTAAAATGCAACAAGGCTTTTGGGGTGACGGGAGTGGATGTCAGAACCAACATCTCCAAACCCTTCAAGCCTTCCCGGCAAACTTCGGCAGCCACCTCTTGGTTGACCTCTGTCACGTGGTCCAGTTCTAAGACTTGGAGGCGCATGCAGTTCCGGGCTAGTGAGAAGGAGAGACACAGAAGGAGAGGATTAGCCAGCCATGCGTGGGTTACGGACCACAGAGGGCGGATTCTAGTAGACCAGTGGTTCTCCCAGTTCTAGAGTCTGGAGATATTTTGGACTTCAATTCCCATGAGTTCTTGTGGTTGGCCATGCTGGCAGGAGCTCCTTCTGGGAGTTGAAGTCCAAAACATCTGGATGGAACCCAGGGTTCTAGAGGAGTGGTTCCCAATCTTGGGTCCCCAGGTGTTCTTGGACTACAACTCCCAGAAATCCTGACAAGCACAACTAGTATTGAAGGCTTCTGGGAGTTGTAGTGCAAGAGTATCTGGGGGCTCCAAGGTTGGGAACCACTTTCATAGACTTTCCCATCGTATCAAAGTTCTGCTTGGTGTTTCTTCCTACATGCGGTCACTTCCTGGTTCATGAGTGGGCCAGGTGGCAAGTGATGATGGGGAAGGTGCTTTCAGACAATACGGGTTTTAGACTTCATGGAGTCAGGTTGCAAAACCCATTTTCATCCCCTGCAAGCCGTGACAACCCTTGGATATTTGCATGCAGAAGGAGTGCTGCAACATAATGGAATAATGGTCAGCCAATATGGACTCCAGTGACAGGCAGATGATATGGCTTCTCTGCATTGACAGGGCCAAGTTTGCTAGAAGTTTTAAGTGCCTGACCTTCTGCCCATTGATGGTGCCTCTCTCCATTCCACAGACAGAAGCCACCTGGTGTGACCGTCGAAACGTAGTTCTATGTTTTTAATCAAATGGCAGCCTCCATCACGCCTCCCTAGACAAGGGGCAGACTAGTCTAGGAAGTTATGGGAAGTCTGTATGGCAGATAATTCTTGTAATTCTCCATTCTACATGACAGATACCTAAATTTGGCTCACCTGGAAGAGGTTTAACTGGGCCTAGCTCCATCCACGCTTCCTCTTCCTGCCCCAGAACTAGCTGGGAACTGTCTTTCTGAAGCAGACTTTTGGTGGAGCTCGGCCTTAAAGTCTTCCGGCTGAGGCCTTCAGGCCAGGTGAGCCAAATTTAGGTGTCTGTAAGGCGGCTATCCCATCAGGCTGCACTCCCAGAATGGAGGATTACTGGATTTGTAGTTCAAGAAATCTGAAAAACCCATCCCTCGCCATCATGGCACCCCTCAGCATGTGCCACCTGAGGCAAGGACCTCCCTCTGCCTCACGGCAGGGCCATTCCGAGACCATTTTCAGAACTCGGAACAGTTCATTTCTTGGCCCGCAGCACACACCGGTTGAGGGAATCTTGGGAGTCGCCACCTAAGGAAATAACTTCCCCAAGGTCTGAGCTTCTGCCGCTTGAACTTCAGGCGACAGTTCGGTTCCCCAGCTCTGACGTCCGCTCCACAATAGGACTCCCAGAATGGAGAACACTCATTCCAGTACAGACTGGACTGGATCCAGTTTGGCTCCAGCATGGCTCAGTAAGGGAGACCAGAGGTGGAAACCAATAATTTTTTTTTGGACTACAGATCCCAGAACCCCAAAGTGGGCATGGCTAATGGCTGTGGGATTCTGCGAATCGGAGTCCAAAGAAGGGGAAGCATCATCATCATCATCACCTCGCATCCCCAGGGGCAGGCTGAGTGCCATCATGCCCCGGTTTGCAGCATTGAGAAGCTAGCCGAGTATTGATCCACCCACAGAGGGAGTGCCCCCCCAAACTGGATTTACCAAGCGATGCCAGTCCCTGCATGCCGCAGCCTGCGCCGCCAACCCCCAGGGCTCGTAAATGCGGCCAGCATCGCCCGATCATTTGCAAGCAGCGGTTGCTGAAGCGAGTGGGTTGCTGGCTGGAGGAAAGAAGAAGAGGAGAAAAGACGGGAAGTGAGAAAGAAAGACCCGAACACGATCCGAGCATCGTTTACACAACACCGCCAAGCAGGCATGAAAGAAAGAAAGGAGGAACGTGCCATCGGTGCACAGGTTGGCCAGAGCAGCCAAAACAGACTTTGTTGAACTTCTGAATGGAGAGGAGCAAAGCATGGAGAACCATCTTGGGGGAAAGCTGACCAGAGAGGGAGACCTTTCCATTCTTGGAGCTGGAAACCCCCCTTTTGCAAATTGAAAGGAAGGTTTCCATTTGAGAATAATCGCTTCTGGCACCAGGGTGAAGCGAAGGGATCTCCTCTCCTCTCCTCTCTGAACACGAGCTTCTTTCTTTCCAATGGCCAGGAAGGCTGAAAGATTTTGAGATCTATAAGCCTGCCCCCTCCCCAAAAGTAACTTATCCAAGCTTTGGTTTATGGATGTGTCCATATCCAACTGACATCGGGGTCTTGGGAAAGGAGCAGGCTTAAGCTCTTCCCCCATTTCCCAGCGGAAATCACCCAGCCGACCCGTGTGTGTGTGTGTGTGTGTGTGTGTGTGTGTTTGTATGTGCGTATGAAAGAGTGGTGCCACCAGGAATGCCCAGGCCAGCCCTCTTACCAAGGGTGTAGCGGTGCCACCTGTAAGGAGATGATGTCCCGGCAGCCGGCTCCTAGCGCCCATATCACCTCGTGGCCCACCGGATCCGTAGCACTCCTGGAACAGGGAAATAAAGAGGGAGGGAGGGAGAGAGGGAGAGAGGGAGAGAGAGATAGAGATGCATGAACGCCTCCTTGGGCTATCAGAATTGCAACTTGCTTTTTCATCCCATTTCTGCAGCCCCGGGTCGGGGTGCCTTTCTCACTGAAAATACAATGGTAATCAAAACAGAGAACTTGGAAAGGGTGAAGCTGACACCTCTGGAGGCTTTGAGTATAGATTTGGTTTTGTTTCTTCTTTTTTTTAGCAAAAATGTTTTTAAATGAAATGTCCACGTTCTCTTTGAAGAGTGTTGTCCTCTGAAGATGCCCATGGCCACACAGACTGGTGAAACGTTAGGAAGAACAACCTTCAGAACACGGCCAAAGAGCCCGAAAAACCCACAACCACCATCTCTTTGAATACTTCTTTAACTTTTAAAAGGTCGTCTAGGAATTCTGCCGGGAGCATCACCCACCGTCGGCCCACTAGGCTAACTAGCCAGTTTCTGAAACAGTTTCTCCCCACCAGACAAATTTCAGGATGCATCCAAATAAGGAAGTAGAGTAGTTTTCTGGCCTTCTCTCTCCCCACAGCTGTTTAGAGATAGACTGCCCCTGGATCTGGAGGATCCACGGAGTTGTGTCACTATTCTTTCTGTTGCCGACACTCATGCAGTAATTGCTGGGTGTTGTTGCTTAAGCAAACAGCACCAGCTGCAGAGAGACAGGATCCCTGGGCTTGGGGAGGAGGGGGTGCCGGGATATATAGAAATGAGAAAAAAAATAGGAAAAGGACCCTAAAATGCGTTGTGCCAGTAGAAATCCTTCCAGAAGGGGAAAAAATGTGCTAATTTGTGGACTGAATTTACTCAGTGACCATCTGGTTTCAAAATGGAGAAATAAGAACAAGGAGCATGGAACAGACGGGAGGAACATTCCATGCTGCAAAATTTAGTTACAGATCCTCTACCATCAACAGAACTCTTGCCTTTTATATATTTCTCCCGCTTCCTTTCAAAGCCATCTAACTTTCTGGCCATCAGGACAGCTTTTGGCCGCCAATTCCACCTGATCATTAAGTACAGACGGAATTATATTCATGCAAATTTCCCCCTGCTCCCGATTTGGAGACCCTCCACTAATTAGGAGACTCACCTGCCCATTCTGGTCTTATAAAAGGGGGTGGGAGGGAAGGAGGTCCCTCTTCCTTATTTATCCTTATGCAAATGTTTTATCGTTGTTTCCCCTTTGCTTGCCTAAATAGCTTCCCTCCCCAGCTGGCGGCTTTTCAATCCTGGTCAAATGCATTTAAATCACATTTAAACCTCTTTCCTCAAAACTGCTGAAGGAGAAGAACGGCCGAAGAGGTACTTTAGTTCACAGGTGGTGGAATTTGTACAAATACTTTGCGTTCTCTTATTAAATCGTAAATGTTTTGTTGTTTTCTTTAAAAAAAACACATATTCATAACGAAGGCTGCAATGAGGAACCAAACACCCTTATTAGGTTTTTATATACTTTTTGCTGATTTGCAAGAGCCGTTACTTCGTAACAAACTTATTCCTGATGGTTCATGGTGGCCAGGATATTAGGTTTTTATATTTTTTTTTGCTGATTTGCAAGAGCCGTTACTTCGTAACAAACTTATTCCTGATGGTTCATGGTGGCCAGGATTGAGATAACAGTAGCCCTCGGAAGTGGACGCTGCGACGGCAGGGCTGATTTAATATAATCCTAGAACTGCAGAGCTGGAAGGGATCCAGTGGGATCATCCAGTCCAGCCCCTGTCCAGGAGGACCCGTGGGGGAATCGAACTCCCAACCTCTGGCTCCCCAGCCAGAGACTTCAACCCCTGAGCTCTCTGTAATCATCTTGGAACTGCAGAGCTGGAAGGGACCCTCTGGATCAGGAGGTCCAGCCTCTTGTCAGGGAGCCCCAGGAGGGAATCAAACTCACCCCGTGAGCCATCCAGTTATCCTCATTTAGGATTGCAGTGTTTGTATGTGGGTGTGAGTACAGTGGTGCCTCGCTTGACGATGTTAATTCATTCCAGCGAAATCGCTGTAGAGCGAAAACATCGTCAAACGAAATGAAAACATCCCATTGAAACGCATTGAAAACCCATTCAATGCGTTCCAGTGGGCTGAAAAACTCACCGTCCAGCGAAGATCCTCCATACGGCGGCCATTTTCAGGGCCTGTAAAGAGAGGAATCCGTCCTAGAAAACAGCGGGGACCATTTTAAAAGCTGGTGGCCATTTTGAAACCCAACGATCAGCTGTTTGCTGATTGTCGCTAAGCGAAATTCCCCCATTTAAACGTCAATGTAATGCGGATTTGTCGTAGAGCGGGGTAATTGTCCAGCGGGGCACGACTGTACGTGTGTGTACACACGTGTGCATGTTTTAACTAGAATGTGAGGTGAGCACCTGTTGTAGAAGACATGTCCTGTAAGTGCACTAGACATTAGCACTAGACAAAAAAAAAATCCAGTTCTTTCAGGAAAAATTACTCCTGGTTCCTGCAAGTTTTCTTCACTGATTGATTGACTGAATTGATTGATTGATTTGTTTGTTGGCTTGTTTATAGGCCACCTTTCTGCCAATAATTCAGGAGTAGAATCTTGGACAGGGGTAGCAGGGTGAGAAAGCCTTTTACTGACGGTGGTGTGAGGCATGCACAGGTGTGTGAGAAATCTTTGCCAACCTACGAAGGGGCACATCTGTACTTGGAAGGATCTTTTCTAGTTCCTTCACTATTGCCCAGCTGAATTGAATCACAGTCTTCTCCTCAGTCCTCGGCGGCAGTCTCCACGTAGACTGATGGCAGATCTGGGGTATTGTGAGGGGTTTGCCACCATTGCCCTGGGCCGGCTGCCTGCCCTCACCCTGAAGACCCTGGGAGAGACCTTGGCTCCCAGATCCTGGCGGGCAAGGGGGAAAGATGTCAGGCATTTGACAAGGAGCTGACAGATGAAGGAGGTGACAAGGTGTTGGTTGAATGATAGATTTATCAAACGAATGAACGAATGCATGAACAAATGAACCAACCAACCAACCAACCAACGAATGAATGAATGAACCAACAAACCAACCAACCAACCAGGAGGAAGCATGGGGGGACTTGGGTGCTTCCAGAAGGAGATGTGGAGACCAGGGGATTGGAGAGGAGATGGGGGGAAGCCATTGAGTCCTGGGACCCTCAGCTTTGTGCCTCAGGGGAGACAGACAGAAGCTGGCAGGGGGAACCCCGAGGGGAAACTTTGAAGCATTGAACCATTAGGCAGAGGAAGGGGCTGTGAATGAGGGGCCCTGTAACAGGATTAACGGAGCCCCCAACCCAGCTGTTATGACCTTGGTGCCCCTGCCATCCAACGGGAACAGGGGCACCCTCCCTGACTCAGCCCTGGCAATGGAAGCGCCAGTGAGAGAGAGATGGGAGGCTTCAGGAGGAGCAACGGAGCTGACGCCACTGTCCTTTACCTGGTTCTACCAGCTGTTGGGATCATCCTCTCCTGCCTTTCAAGGCTGGGACTTTCGAGCCACTGTCCTTTACCTGGTTCTACCAGCTGTTGGGCTCATCCTCTCCTCCTGCCTTTCAAGGCTGGGACTTTCGAGGTCCCCTGTGGTGTTTACAAGGGCCCTTCTTGAAAGGATCTCTCCTGGAAGGTCAGTGCAGGGACCCCAAAGAGCTGACAGGCAAACGGAAGAGTGAAAGGCCCCAGCTGGCCTGCCTGAAGCAAGAAAGGCTGTCACTGGTTCTGCCTACAACCCACAGCCCTTGGATTTCTTATCAGAAGACTTTGTGACCCCTGACACTGCCCAGGGCGCTCACAGGATTTAGTGGGCTTGTGAGGTTTTCTGCCTTGGGCATCAAAACCTCTCAGTCTGTTTGGGAAAGAGATGGGGGTGTTGTGGAAACAAACACTCTGTGTGGGATGGATCTAGGGCATCCCAGCCCTTCTGATTGAAATCCAGCTTGTGTTTTTTTGTTTTTCCTCATCCCTAATTTTTCAATGAATGACCCACTTCTGTGCTTCGGTTGAGCCTAAAAATAAGCAGCATCGTATTATCTGGAACGCTCATACATCTCCCACGAAGCTGCCTGCCAAGGCACCCCCCAGGCCAGTTGGGCTTGGCCTTAATTAAAACATGTGAGTCACGGTGACAGGTTTAGGGAGCTGGCAAGCTGCTCAGGGAAACCTGAGGATTTGGCCTGGAAGGCGGTTGCCTGGGGAGAGAAAAGGAAGGGAGAGAGAGAGAGAGAGAGGAGGGAAGGAATCTGTGCCCTGGATATGGGACTTGGAAATTTTACTGTTTGGATTACAACTCCCAGAATGCTTACAAGGCCTGGGGAATCTGGAAATTGTAGCCCAAAACAAGTACCACATATACTTGAGTATAAGCCGACCCGAATATAAGCCAAGGCACCCAATGTTACCACCAAAAAAACCTGGGAAAACTTATTGACTTGAGTATAAGCCGAGGTACCGATATGGATAATGTTGATAGTATGCTTGCCTTCGGTATGATGGAAAACATGTAATTTTGACACTGACTCGAGTGTAAGCCGAGAGGGTGCTTTTTTAGCCAAAAAAATTGTGCTGAAAAACTCAGCTTATACTCGAGTATATAGGTTAGTTTCAAAGTAATATCAGTAGCTGCTTTATGCTGAGCCAGAACCATGGATCCATCCAGCCTAGTAGCGAGAGGCTTTTCAGAATTAACGGACTCCCAGTTCCCATAATTCCTGAAGCCTGAAGTGGTTCCTGCTGAATTATAGGACTTGGGAGTTTAATTCTGAGCATGCCATCCCTAGAGCCTACCATCCATTGCTCAGCATCTGTGTTCAGGGCTGAAAGCAGGAAGGGGACTTCTCTTCCCTGTGATAGAGGAGAGGATCCGTCTCCCACCTGGGTGTTGCTGGCGTAGCCTCTGCTCTGATCTCGACACCGCTGTCAAACATTAGCTGTGCGGCTGGACAGCTCGTATGCAACCTTTCTCTGAAGCTTGCTCCTTTGGCCCTGCTGGACCGCTCACCCTCCTTCCATCCTCAGATGAGAAACTCCAACATCGGCGCCCCTGGACTGGGCCAACCATGAGCCAGGGGTATGTGGAACGAGCGGTACCTCTCAACCTGGATCAGGACCTTCTCGAAATCAGTTGGCAATGGGCAACCTTGCAAAGGAAACAGGCGCGTCTGACAACCTCAGGCCCGGGGAGCCGTCACCTCAAAATTCTGGGAGAGAACCTCTGGACTTTAGGTGTCTCATGACAGGAAGGATCTAATGTATTGGCTACCCCACTCTTCTGACGGTCTCCCCCCCCCAAAAAAAAAAACATGTTGTTGTTACTACTAGAGTCTGTGCCTTTTTCAAAAAGCATGGATTTGTACTGCTGCCTCCGTCTATGCCTCCGTGAGCCACAAGAGGCTGGTTGATTATTTTGCCGACTTATATTCCTTTTAGAAGAAGCTAAATTTAGCTGCCTTGCAATCTTGCTCTCCTCGTGCACAAACACTTGAGCAAATGAATCAGATAATAAGCGTGCCAACAAACAAATTCAGCCTCGGCTAAGAAGGAAACATTCCAAAAACAACAATCCCATGGCGCTTTTAAAATGAACACGTATTATTTGCAAGAAGCTTTTGGGGAGGGCTGGCAAATTCTTTTTTACAATGCTCTCTGAAGGAGCTGAAGTGATGCCAAATTACAATTTAACCGTCTTAAAGATGCCCACGGATGCTTTGCTGGTCTCATCCCTGTGAACTAAGACCGTCGCCTCTCTGACAAAATTTAAATTTAAAGGAAGCGGGAATATAAGTAAGAAAAATACACAGAAACCTGTAAGAGGCAAAGGCGAGTTGAAATAAACTTCCACAAATGTCTGATGGAATGAAAATCTAAGTGCTAAAGAGAAAAGCATGGGAAAACGTATTTTTGGACTACAGTGCCCAGCATCCTTAGTTAGCCCCACCGTGCTGGGAGCTGCAGTCTGCTTTTTTGTACGACTCAGCTACGGTCGTGAGGTGTCATCCTGCAAAGAGTCATTGTTTGAAACTTTACCACCAGCCCATGGAGAAAGGCCGCTTGCCATGCTCACTGGGGGATTGTGGGTTTTGGAGTAAAAAAAAACGGAGCTCCCCCAAAAGCTCAAAGCAGGGCTTTCTTTTAAAAGCATATTCCCAAACGGAGACATTCATTTGGAGAAGGGCAACCTACGGCTCCTTGTGGGAGAGCAGATGTGTTCTCTGCCAGCCCAGCCTCCTCTTCGGAGACAATTCTCTCCCGGTCGACTCAAGCGGAGATAACGATCAGGTTTCCTGCGGCAGTCCTGACATGCGGAGGATTGCATGTGCCCCTCCTGGTGCTTTAAGCTGCTTTGCTGTAGCAGTCTCCTCAAGGATAACGCCCAGCATGGCCCTCGCCCAAATACATCCCTTGCCTGGCCCGTCGCTTTCCCAAACGTCCAGGGAAGAGGATCAATGACCGTGCGGTTTCACGCCTCTGCTCTCTCTCTCTCTCTCTTCCAGGCAGCCCTACAGACGGCGTGGCCCAAAGCAACAAGGACTGGCTGGAGGATGCGCTCCTTTTGCAGAGCTCTCCAGGCAGAGGGCGTGGAGGGGAAGGAGAGAGAAACCCACCATGCTAAAAATTCCCTACAAAAGGGTTCATCTCACAGTTCTCAAGAGGGGTGACAGGAGGAAGCGAACCTCGCCTTGAAAATCTGACCGTGTCCGAGACTTACAGCACATTCAAGAGAATATGGGACCACCCTCAGTCAGATCTGCTTTGGCTTGGGTGCCTGCCTTGAGCAGGGGGTTGGACTAGATGGCCTTCCAGGCCCCTTCCAACTCCATGATGCTAGGATTCTATGATTGTGGCAAATTAAAAAAACCCACACACACACATGCACAAAGCCACCAGTACTGTTGTGTGTTTTTTTTAAAAAAGGCTTGGGTGCCTGCCTTGAGCAGGGGGTGGGACTAGATGGCCTTCCAGGCCCTTTCCAACTACATGATGCTAGGATTCTATGATTGTGGCAAATTAAAAAAACCCACACACACACATGCACAAAGCCACCAGTACTGTTGTGTGTTTTTTTTAAAAAAGGTGCACAAAGCCACGAGTACTGTTGTGTGTTTTTTTTAAAAAAGGGCATGCCTAAAAGTGAAGACATCTGAAAATTACCCATAAACATAGTATAGTCAAGAGGAAAATGACTGAAATGTGATACCCGTAAAATCTGTGAAAGAAATATCCAAAACACAGTGCAAACATTTCTCTCTGAGTGGTAGCTCAGGCTGGACGAGGAAGATGGTGGGATTTTGACAATGGGTGATGAAAATGAGACAGAGTGCTTTTTCACACCTCCAGGTATGGATCTGCAGGTATGAATGAATGAACGAACAAACAAACAAACAAACAAACAAATGAATGACTGAATGAACAAATGAATTAATGAACAAATTAATTAATGAACAAATTAATGAATGAAAAAGCAACCTGAATGAACAAATGACTGAATGAACAAATTAATGAATGAAAAAGCAACCCCAATGGGAATCACTGGGTTAGCTTTCATTTCTCCTGAAACAAAAAGGTAATCCCTGTGGATGATTTGGTTTAGCCTGTTGGGTGGGGAAATGGTCAGGAAGTGCCTGTGCTTGTAAAGTTTCAGCTGAGGGGGAAAAAAAAGAGGGCCAGAAATGACAGGAGCTTCTTTCCTCCGGAAGCAGGATCAAAACTCGGAGTACCTTGATTTCTTAGGCAAGGCAAGTTCTTCTCAAGGTTTTGCACCAGGGATTCTACCACGTAGGGAGGGAGAAATCCTTGATGTTCCAGAGGGGTTCAGAGGGGTTTCATCTTTGTGTCCTGAATTTTCTGAGCATTTTGCCCGCTTACCGATACGTGACCGCTTGCAGCGCTCGGCAGTAGCAACTGGCCAGCCAGAGGGACCGATCCGTCAAGATGTTGGGGCAGTGAGAAATCCGGAGGATCAAAAGGTTGCTCCCTGTAGCTTTCAATAAGGACTCCAGCCCAGCTTCTAGGCAACCCCTGGGAAGAAATGGGAAGGAAAGGAAAGACACATCGAGGGACGTTCGTGCCACAACAAGGGACGGAGAATTTTCCGTTAAGACTCTCTCATTTAGAACCCTGGCTACAGGAAGGCTTCCCTCTCTGAGTCGGCCTCGGCAGGAAAAAGGATCACCTGCTGTGTCTCTATCTGGGCCCTCATGTGTTCCAGAAAGGCAAGGAGAACCAGCTCTCCAGATGCTTAGCTTTCCACCTGGCTGTTTCTGGCCCAGCATCCTTGTTCTTTGGTCTGCCTCTGTGGCTGGCTAGGATGGCCACAGCATGCCTCAGGCAGCCGCTCTTCTCCTGCCCAGTGGCTCCCAGCTAGGACAACAACGGTGCTTGGAAACGTTGCCTTTTCTTAGACTACACAGTAGGCATCTTTCAGTCTCAAGAGACGATGGTCACGTGCTCTGAACAGAGGACTTGGAACAGCGTCTAATGTGGCTGAGAAGGCCAATTCAAGAGTGACCATCCCTTTCACACTGAAGACAAATACAAGCTGTTTCCTGTCCAGTTCCCTGGTTTTGGTTGTTTTGGGATGGCCTCTCCGCCTCGGCCTGCTGGACAAGGGTCTCTTCAAACTGGGAGAGGCCATGCTGCACCACCTGCCTCCAGGCTGAACGCTCAGATGTCAAGGTTTCCCATCTAAGGCCTTCGGATACCGCTTGCAGATATACTTGTATGGAAGCTGTGGTCTCCCCCAGGGCGATTTCCCTGCACTAATTCTCCATACAGGAGATCTTTTGGAATCTGACCATGGTCAGATTCTGCTTACGGTCCTGTACTTGCCTTGCTGAACAGCTCTCTGTGCATTCTCTAGGCAAGTCTGTTTCTCCCCAGAATGAGCAAAAGACGGTCTGATGGCTGTCCGTGCAACACCAGGTCAGAGGGGACTTTCCTAAGAGTCCTACAGAACTTAGTAGATCTCCAGGTTGAAAAAATCAGAAGCCCTTTTATCCCAATAAACCAGGAGCTGATTCCCAAATGAACCAGAATGAAATGTTGCAAGCGGTCTGGAAGAGGCTGCTCTTACCGTGTGCTTTTCATGTAATCTTCCTTGGTTTCTTTCTTTCCCCTTTGTCGGGGCTTCAGATTCTGGAGGGTGAGGGAGTGTGTTTGGGTGCACCACTGCGAGAGCATGACCAGGAACTGTAGACAGAGGAGGAAGAGAGCGGTGGAGTCTGCCGTCATTCATGAGAAAAGCAGCTGTGCAATTTTGCACATGAGCAAACCAAGAGAGCTAACTCTTTCCTCCTATACCTATTGCCATCCACTTACTTTGGTTGACTTTTATATGATGGGGACAAAGGGAAAGTCAACTAGAGTAAGTGGGTGGCGAGAAGTACAGGAGGAAGATTCAGAACAATATCACAGAATCATGAAGTTGGAAGGGGGCCTATCATTCAAATCAGATGATATCTACCAGGTATCTCTAGAATGCCTCCAGTGATGGAGCGCCCCCCCCACCTCAAGAGGTCATTGATTCCATTGCCGTACATCTCGAACAGTTAGGAAGTTTTTCCCGACATTCAACTGAAATCTTCCTTCCTGTAACTTGAGCCTATTGTTGCATGTCTTGCACTTTGGGATGACGGAGAACAGATCCTGCCTCTCCTCTGTAGGACAGAATTCCAAGTCTTTGAAAAGTACTATCCTATCTCCCTTAGCCTTCTTTTCTCAAGGCTAAACATGCTCAGTTCTTTCAGCCTTTCCTCCTTAGGCTTAGTTTCCAGCCCTGCAATTGTTGTTGCCCTCCTCTGAACTTGTTTCAGTTTGTCATCATCCTTCTTAAGAAGAGGAGACCTAACCAGTGCTGAATAGACAGGAACTAGTGCCTCATGGGATCTGAAGAATAAACTTCTGTCAATATTCAGAAACAGATAATAAAAACAGACTTTGCAATAGGGCAGGGTAAGAAATCACCCAACTGAAAAACAGCAATCGTTGTTGCCGTCCTCTGAACTTGTTTCAGTTTGTCATCATCCTTCTTAAGAAGAGGAGACCTAACCAGTGCTGAATAGACAGGAACTAGTGCCTCATGGGATCTGAAGAATAAACTTCTGTCAATATTCAGAAACAGATAATAAAAACAGACTTTGCAATAGGGCAGGGTAAGAAATCACCCAACTGAAAAACAAAATACGATCATGCCTTTCCGGTATCGGACTACACCTCCTAGCATCCCCAACGATTGGCTATGTTAGCTAGAGCTATTGAGAGTTAGTTTGTAGTCCACGATCATCAGAGCCCCCAGATTGGGAAACCACCAGTTCAAAGGTTCAAAGGAGACCAATATTTTTAAAAAATGAATGCCCCCCCTTCCCCACGCCTGGGTCATGTTGTTACCTTTGAGGACACCCGGGCGTTTTCCAGGAGCACCCGCGTCCACACGGCAGGGTGCCGGGCCACAAATTTCCAGTCCTTGCACACCTCGGCGGCCCTCAGCAGAGTCTTGGTGTCCAGGTACGTGAAGATGCAAAAGAGCGCGGCCCGCATCTTGAGGATCTCTGGACTGATGACCTCATTGGAGCGGGATGGGCTCCCCCGTTCGGGTCTGGCAACCTTCCCTCCATCGGAACGGGCTGCAATTTGGGAGAAAGGGATGGGGTGGGTGGGAAATGGGACATTCCCGTTCATCAGGAACTCAGGAGTGAACAGCAACAGAAGCAGGCAGTGTATGGAGACTAACAAGGGATCCCTAGAAGTTTCCTCTGCCGAATCCAGAGGCATTGACCCCCAGGTAAGAAACACTGTATGCACCCATCACAGCTACAGCAGTGAGATGCAATATCAATTCTGGTATTTGTATTCTCAAAGGCTTTCATGGCTGGGATCTGATGGTTGTTGTGGGTTTTTCGGGCTCTTTGGCTGTGTTCTGAAGGTTGCTCTTTCTGATGTTTCGCCAGTCCCTGTGGCTGGCATCTTCAGAGGACAGGAGTCAGAACTCTGTTTTGAGTTTTAAACTTTTAAATCCTATTTCAAAAGACAGAAGTACTGGACAACACCAGCAATCATTATGTTAGACTGAACAGGGAAGCCATTGAAATCCACAAACACCAGCAGAGCTTCGACCAAAAAGAAGAAAGTTTAAAAATCAACAAGGCCTGGCTCCCAGCACTGAAAAATACAGCCTGCAAATGGTCAACAAACTCTACCCAGCTACAGGGACAGATGATCACTGCACACAAAAGACCGGGTAACAACACCCATCAATCACAGTGACCGATAATCTCTCCCTTTTATCACAACAATACATCCACAAAAAAAAAACATGCTGATCACCACAATCACCCATCTCCTGAAAAGGACAAAAGCTGATCCCACAGCTATAAATATACTCAACTATCCAAACAAACTGCACCAATTCTGGGATTTGTCATTTAGCGAAGCACTCAGCCTTCTCTGCTAGCACCCCTTCCCTGATTCCCAGCAGGGAATCCCAGGGAAGCCAAGCACCAGCAGGAAGGCGCCATGGAGGACCCAAAAGGAATCCGACTCTAATGCAGACCTGCTCTGAGTTTAGGATTTCAGCTTTTTTTGGGGGGGAGGATGTTGAACAGACTTGCCTCCTTCTACCCCTGCAGAGAATGGAGAACCCTTCCTTTTTCAAGACTACAACTCCCAGAATCCTCCACCCCATTTCGCCACCAGTCAGGCTAGCTGGGCGATTCTGGCGATGGGTCCAAGAAAAATGAACGTTTCCAAATTCTGCCTAGAGAAATGACTTTTGCAATCCTTTGCCACAGCGACACGATCTTCTGAAGAACAGGGGAAGTGGCTGGGCCAAGTCAGTCCCTTTGTCCGCTTAGACCATCTGCTCCTCTATTCTGACCAGCAGCCCTGGCTTTCTTGAGGGGGGGGGGTTTAAGGCAGGATTCCTTCTGAGACCTACCATGAAGGTGTTCCATTCAAGCAACCGCCCTGCCCAACCCTGTTCATGAATCCTGAGAAGGAAGGATGCTCTGGAAAAGACCCTAATGCTGAGAAAGGTGGAAGGCAGCAGGAAAAGAGGAAGACCCAATACAAGATGAAGTGACTCCCTAAAGGAAGCCACAGGTGTGGCTCTGCAGGAGCTGAGCAGGGCAATTGAGCACAAGAGATTTTGGAGGTCTCTCATTCATCGGGTTGCCTTAAGTTGGAGGCGGCACATAACGACGAGAACAAACAGCCACCCTGTTCGGCTCCCAGCAATGAATACCAACCTTCTCGGGACAGGACGATGACCGAACGACTGAAACCCAGCAGAGATTAAACCTGTCTTGTCCGACCACCAAGCCCTCCCTGTTTCTTCTGGCAGGAGACTCACCTGGCAGCCGGGCGCTCTCGGCCGTCCTGGACAGGTTCAGCTGTTGAACCTCCGGGGGAGCCCGGCTCTCCGTCTCCCAGATTTCTGCCTCGGACTCGGTGGTCCTGGAGCCGACGTCGGAGATGTCTCCTTCCTCACCCTCCGTGCTGTTGCGGTACGGCCGGCGCTGCCAGTTCTGGATGGCTTGCCTGCGAAGCCCTGAGCTGCGGACTCCCCCGGGCCTTTCGAAGCCGCTTTCGGTACCTCGGCTCTGCCCGCCCTGGTAAGGGTGTACCTCTGCGTTCTCGTCCCCGTGGTAGAGCTCTGGGCTGTCACTGTCATAGCAGCCCGAGCTCTGGGAGACGGCTTTGGCGCGGCTCGAAGCCCTGGAATGACAGGACGGAATTTGAAAAAAACAGAATGGCATGATCCGAAAAGCACGGCATGATAATGAAAACGAGTTAGGATCACCCCTTGTCGCAAGACGGGCCCAAACCACCCAGAGTAGAGCCAAAATAAGTAACTAAATAATTAACCAATTAATTAACCAATTAATTAACGCATGCTCGGGTTAATTTATTAATTGCAAAACAAGGAATATATATTATGTCTATGGACCAAGGCGCCATAAAAGAGCAGAAGGGGTTGAGTAAAGGATGCTATTTTCCATAAACTAGCTCCAATACCAAAACAAGAGAAGTATAATAAGAGAAGAGTAATACATTTTAGAAAAAGCATCAAGAAATCTTAATTTTTCCTTTACCATTGGACACTCTGTTTAATCCAACTCCCCAAATTTCAGAGAATTCATTGCTATTGAGGGATGAAAGCAAACAGGTCGGAAAGGATGTTTACACTCTCTGAATGTAGGGATACAGCATTCTGCCTAAAGCCACTCTTGGTTTTGTGTGCTGAAAGGCGAGGCCGCCATTAGGAGTTATGCACCAAAAAGGCACACAGCTTTCAGAAGCAAGGTAAAAGCTAGCATTTTACCCAGACCTTGGCAAGCTTCAACCCTTCGTAATACGGATTTTGTAGCACATTTATGCCGGCCTGTGGTTCGCCACTCCGATTCTTGGATCATGCGCTATAGACTGGAGGCTTCATTAAGGTTTCTTTCTTTTTATACATTCATTTTCAAGATCCTGTTTGTGTACTCATGTTATGTTTTGGAAGGTGGCCAGAGTAGTGGCTTGTCTGCTAAATGGGCAGGGTGTCCGTCTAAACAAATAAAAATAAATATATTATCTAGTCTTCCAGGAACTGGGCAGGGCCAAAAGCATTTCAGGACACCAGCCCCCATGATCCCCAGCCATTTAAAGTCTGGAAGGCTCCCTAAGGATGCTCAGGCTGGTCCCCAACGCATGGCAGAAAGAGAGCCAAAAAGAGGACATGGTTTTGCACAAAACTGCATACGTTGCTTATACAGTATTTATTTATTGGATTTCTCTCCCGCCCACATAGACCAAAGGTCTATTCTATAGATGACAGAGAAATGATTTTAAAGATTTAAACAGCTGTCTGGTGGCAGCTGCCTGTGGACAAGGCACGGCCATAAAGGTCTCTTCTCCTTTTTCTGATGCCTCTTTATCTATACATTTGATCTGAGAGGCCTCAACGTGCTTGTACAGTCTCAAGGACTAGAAACCTGCCAAGTTTTCAGTGCCTGGTGAAGTTTTAGGGAGGCTGCACCCTTGTCACTTGAGACCATTTTTGCACTTGTGTCTTGTGTATGCGGAAGGCGCATGAGTGCGCGTGCACACACGCGTGCGGACACACACACACACACAGAGAGAGAGAGAAGGCGCATGAGTGTGCGTGCACGCACATGCGCACACGCACACGCACGCACGCACGCACGCATGCTCGCAGGCACGCACACACACACACACACACACACACACACAGACTGCTTGGGTTATATGATCCCTTTTCTTAAATACTCATTTTCTGAGTTGGGAATCTGTAGACTCCTCCTTTCCTCCCCATTTTTTTTGGTTTGATAGTTTATTCCATCACCAAGAAAAATCAATAAAGAATGAACCAGCCTGCCTTTGAAAGCAGATAAAGAAAAACAACACACACCACATGTACATTCTAAGTGAACCACTAGCTGTTTTACTTTTCCTCTGGGAGACACAGGTATATCTGAGGTCTGAGATGCTCCTAAAAATTGGCCAAAGCAAAAAGAAAAGAAAGAAAGAAAGAAAGAAAGAAAGAAAGAAAGAAAGAAAGAAAGAAAGAAAGAAAGAAAGAACAGCTATAAATGCAATGCCAAAGATTATTTTTTTCCTTTTCCCCCCCATTTTACCCTGTGCTGGATGAAGACCTTTGGTTCGAAACGGCGTAGGAGCTGTGGGGTGTTGCACCGGGGACCGAATGCCGGTCTCTCTGCAAGAGAGAAGACAAAGAGGTGACATTCATCAGATAGCTCGGCATCCAGTTTTTTTTTAATGTAAGGAACCCCATCCGTGGAATTGTTTCTGCCCACTTGCAATCTGAACTGGGAAGTAGTGAGTTTAAAGTAGCACAATCACTTTCTCATAGTTTTGATATTTAGTGCATGGCACCGATGGGGCACTATATATCCCTTTATGAAACAAACAAACAAACAAATTAATTAATTTTCTTGACGGTGACAAGGGTGAAACAAGGGCGGTTGTCCACTTGCACGTAAAAGGAGAATAACCCTCACCAAAATGGAAGCCAAAAGAGAGTGCTCTATGTCTTTGTACAGATGCAAAATTTAGGAACCATTTTTTTGAATTTAAACAGGATGACAGTGTGTCTCGCTTGAGTAGTGATGCCCCATGTGTCTCCTACGGAATCTGCTCTCCCCGTGCAGGTCACCGTGGATGATCGGCAACTTCATCAACCTTACTCTCTTTCTCATATTTATTTATCTTTAAATTAGCCTTGGTCTGGACTGCCCTTTTCTTAGTCTTACACTGTTATTTTAGGTAACAAAAAGGAAATAGCAACACAATGTGGAACTAATAATCTTCTTGCAACATTAACAGCAATACATTCTCTTTTTTTCCAGCTTTGTAACTAGTTCCACAATGAGTTACTTTTAAAAAAAGAGCAACTTTCTAACCTCTGCTTGCAATACCATGTGATGGTGGGCCTAAACGTAAGAGACAAGAGAAATCAGCCATTCAGTCTCCTGACGTGTAAAGGCAATGTCAGTGCGGTTGGTGGATTTTTAATTTCCACTCTGGATGTTTGTAAATTAAAACAATATATCCAGCCCAACGCAGATTTGAAGATTATATTGCATCCATAACAATGAAACAGATCTTCTGTTCAGAGTTAGGGCTATTAACAACAAGAGGGAGGGGATGATTTCCCCTCAAGTACCATTTTCTGGATGAAAACTGCCCTCACCAGCTCTTTTCTATAATAAGGCTTCGCCGGAATGGCTTTCCCTGGAAACACGGCGTGGGGAGAAATAAAACCTCCCCGCCAAAAAATATCTTTCTGGTGGCCCCTTTTCTCCATCCATGGCAGTTTCTTTCACTATTACATGTGATGAGAATCCCATCACAGATATTTGTTATTTTGCCTAGTTACGTCCTGCACGCCCGTCATCCACCTTCTGAGGACATTTAGACGGATGGAGGAGGAGCCTTGTTGGAGTTTTTACAACCTCGCATGCCGCCTACATTTCATTTGACTGGAAGGGACCTTCCTGGGCTGGAGTGACTGTCAATCTATCCAGCACTAACCAATCCTTCCTTCCAGCTTTTGAATTCAAAGAAAGCCCCGCCTCTCTGCTGACTGCCTCTTTTCCCTCTCTCTTTAGTCTACTGCAAGCAGGGCTTGTTCGTTGCTTGCTGATCTGTTCACAACTGTAGGTAATGAAATATTTTTTTTGTTCTTTTACCTACCAGTGCCTCAGAGTGATTTAGTGAGACCTTAAGGGCCAGTGAATGAGAAAGGGGTGGACTCTCTGGGGAGCTTGAAGCTATTCTCCTCTGAAAATCTCTGTACTTTGGCTGTGTTGAAAAATGAGATTTTACCAACAAGCTAGTTTTTTTGTTCTGGGATAGAAATGAGCAGCTCGGAGAGCGTTCAAAGTGTTTCTAAAATCAGTTTGGCTTACAAGACCAATCCAAGCTTTGTCCTTTGGAAATGATAACATACAGCTCTCCTTTGACCCCACCCGGGCAAGAGAGAGGTGACCCAGAGGGGTCTTAACCCTTCCCTCTACGATTCCCTTTCCATCCGTTGCTTCCTTCCCAGCCTTTTGTTTTCGTTTTGATTGATCAACTCCAACCACATTATAGCCCAGTGCTGCTTGTTTAAATTCGTTGTGTACTACAGAAAAATCTCTCAAATGGAGTAGCTTACAAACACACACAGATGCTTTCTCTTTCGAGACAGACCCATGTACCTTGGAGTGTACTTGGCCAGGAAAAAAAATATAAAGCAATGAAGGCACCCCCCACAAATGGTTTACCAATTCCCTCCTTCTGGTGGGGCTCTTCCACGGCAGTGACCTCAGGCGGCACAGATGTCTGGGCATGGACCCTCCCTCCACCACAGATCCGGATGGTCTTGGTTAGCCCTCTCCCCGGAAGGCACAGCGAGGCACAGCAAAGGCAGCCGGGAGCTTTATATGGACGGAGAGACCAGAAAGGAGGAGCTTGGCCACTGGCCCCGCCCACCCCCCAGGAAGGCCCGCCTCCCCCTCGGAGAACCAAAGGTTTTGGGGGTCGGTGTCACTCCATACCGGCCGGCCCGTGCTCTTGGATCCCGGGACGCTACACCTTCCGAGGCTGCAGTTGGGCGTCGTCCCGCAACTGCTGCTGATGATCTGGAGCTGCTTCTCAGCTCGGTCGGCTCGGTCCAGGAGCTCCTCGATGAACTGCTGGAGGCGCACCTTGGCGTTGGCTTCGCGGGCCGCCGTCTCCTTGAGGAACTGGTCGATCTGGATCACCTCCCTGCAGGAGGGAGGAAGGGGCGAGAAGAGGCCAAACAGCATCATCCTGCTCTCAAGGAACGCCATGACCATCCCAACAGCGTCAACCACTGCGCTCAATAGGGATTGGGTTGGATTACATGTCCCATCGTCCCCAAGCTGCAGCTCTAAGATATCTGGAGAGCTAGACTTGTCCCCATGTGTGTTACAAAATTAATTAATTAATTAATTAATTGAACTTATATGCTGCCCACACTACCCAAAGGTCTCTGAGCGGCTTACAACAATTAAAATACAATAAAAAAGTTAAAACAATTAAAATATATACTCTAAGAATTGCTTTTTTATGAACATGCCCGTTTCCCCAAAATCTTTGCAAAACAGAAGCACACGCCCTGACTTTCCAGAGGCAGGCCAGAGTTTTATTTGATTTTTTAATAAGTCCTGCTTTGTGGCTCGACTACAAAGAAGCCCCTCAGGGGGCCTTGGCAAGCCAAATTAAAAGTCATCCTGAAAAACAAATCAAAACGATGCACCCCCCTATAAGCCACTCCACTCCCCACAAAGCAAAGAAAACTGCAAAATTATAACATTCACCAAGGCGCCTTCTGGCACCGAGAGATGGATTCAATTCGGCGTAAGCTTTTACGAACCGAACTGGATTGCCCACCACGAATGCCGGGGCAAAAAAACAAAACAAAACAAAATAAAAACAAAACAAAACAAAAAAAAACCAGCAGCCTTCCCTGTGCCAGCCTCCCCATATTTAATCCTCGTCCAGAAAGGATCAACACAGCTAACCTCCCCCCCCAACACACACACACACACACACACACACTCCCCTGCAAGCAAAGGTTATAAAATCAGGACAATGGCCAAGAAGCAGCAGGAGACGTAATGACTGTTGCTGATTAAAACCCAAGTAAATAGGATGGCGATAACCTGATGAAAGCACCAAGCGAGCTCCCGTAGAGCTCGCCGGCCTTATTTTGCACACACTTTTCAGCATTTGTGGCACACAGTCTCAGCCTGCATCTTGAGCCTTTCGTCCCCCCTGACCCCGCGGCTTCCACCTCTCCCTCTGCAACCAGAAAACAACAAACTGAGAATCTTGATGAATCAGATGAGTGGCCCATGGAACCTTAATATTTTAAAGATTTACGTATTAGCGGTGCTGTAGGGGAAACCGGGCTCACCGGAAACCAAAACGCTGGGACCTTCTGAGCTATAAGGGACCATCGCATCCCATGCCACCCCCTTCAGGCACCCCTCTTTCCTCTGCACTTAGCTGCAATGCTCACAGTAGCTGAGGGAGAAATGGCTTTTCCCAGGAAGAGTATATTGCTGCAAGACACCCCTCCTGTAATGCAAAGGATTTGAAGGTGGCTTGATCTTGAGTGGGTAATCAGGAGCCATATGCTTTACAAAAGACCTGATCCTCATAGGCTACTATGGGCTGATCCAGCGGTCTGCATTCCTGGACTCTCTTTATGGGTGTTGTTGGTTATGGGGAGACTTCCAAATTTGGCACTATGCTGTCCCTTTGTTTATAGTTAAGTTTGTAGCCCTCTTTTCCTTCCTAAGGTGTTGCAAGTGACAGAAAAGGCTCACTTTTTCTTACTTTGCTCTTACAACAGTCCTGCGAGGTATGCTGGGGTAACAGCCCTTGAGATAAAACCTGATCCAAGACTAGCAACGGATACAGTAGAACCATCTATGATCTTACTACGATTTTTCTGGATTATGAACTCGAGGGATGCTGTAGGCTTGAATTTGAAATAAATGCAATGTTTGGCACGAGATAACAGCCCGGTTTAGGGGTAGAGGGAGGGGGCAGGGTTACTGTGGATGCATCCAGATGTGTTCACATCGTCTAAGTTGGAAGTTCCATTTTTATTAACTTTCCAACTCTCAGAACATCTACAGACCACTTTAGGTAAAATCTAACACTGTGACATTATTTGCCAGAATTCATTTCATTGTGTGCAGTACATTTCTTCCTTACAGAAACTGCTGGATAGCTCAGTAGTTGAGGCTTTTGGTTCCAACGTCTGGGGCTGGGAGTTCGATTCCCCCACGGGGCCTCCTTGACGAGGGCTGGACTTCTGGCTCTGCAGTTCAGAGGTTGTTGTTATTATTATTATTATTATTATTATTATTATTATTATTATTATTATTATTATTATTATTATTATTATTATTATTATTATTATTGTTATTTCATCTTAGGACACCAAAACAGACCAGGAGGATTTGACTATCCACCGCTCAGGTAAGAGAAGATTTGTAATCTTAAACACTTCTTTTGTGTTTTTTTTTAAGTTTCACCCCTCTGCCCCATGTCATTGTAAAATGGAATTTGGCACTTGTTTACTTGCCAACCTAATTAATTACTTCTACTTTAAAGAAAAATCACTCTGTGAAATCAGAGAACAGAAGATTTCACAGCTGCAACAACTGTAAGTATGGTAATGAAAGAATCCATGGGAAAATGCTCGAGAAAACCAAAAGCAAGAGAATTTAACTATACAGAAAACTAGAACAGGCAAGCCACCCCAGTATCTTTGCCAAGAAAACCCCATGGACAGAAACAAAAGGTATGACGCTGGAAGATGAGCCCATCAGGTTGGAAGGCATCCAGCATGCTACTGAGGAAGAGCGGAGGACAAGGACAAGTAGCTCCAGAGCCAATGAAGTGGTTGAGCCAAAGCTGAAAGGACGCTCAGCTGCGGACGCACCTGGAAGTGAAAGGAAAGTCCGATGCTGCAAAGAAAAATACAGTACTGCATAGGAACCTGGAATGTAAGATCTATGAACCTTGGGAAGCTGGATGTGGTCAAACAGGAGATGGCAAGAATAAACATCAACATCCTGGGCATCAGCGAACTAA